CATCTCCTCTGTGCTCTAAAAGCAGTATGGGCAAGTCAGGGGTGCCCATAATGCTGGTAGGTCGCGGGTCGACTCCTTTTCCTGATCTTCTAATCTGCTAGTGCGGCCGAATGTGTGAGATGCTGAAGCATCCGACACAATCGGCCCGCCCCTCCGTGCCTGCAGTGTCCAATACATTTTGCCCAGAGACATTTGGTCCGCCCCTTCCAGCCCACAGCATTGGGCACATTGGGACCACCCCTCCCAGCCCGCAATGCCAGAGACATTTGGCCTGCCCCTTCCAGCTCGCAGCATTGGACACATTGGGCCTGCCCTTCCCAGCCTGCAGTGTTGGACACATTGGGACCACCTATCCTAGCCTGCAGCGTCGGACACATTGGGACTACCCCTCCCTGCTTGCGTTGTCAGACACACCAACGCGCCTGGAGAGCCAGGACGCAGGTAGTTACTACTGGCAACCTAAGTTAGAATCCAGACATGCACACACATGTATGCAGTTTTTTATGTGTCTGACTAATCCCGCTTTCCCAATCACCATGGGGGAAGAATGATTGGCTGTGTAGGGCCTGTTCACACCATTACAGTGCGCCCGGCATGTTTAGCTGCTGGAATGCACAGTATCACATACTAAACTCCCCCTGCGTTCTCGGGTGGGAGGGGGCCGGTCCAGTGCAATCGTAAAAAATGCTGCATGCACTACTGGAACGCAGGCATTGTTGTGCCACGTGTTCTAGTGCAGGCGATTCCACTGCGGTCATTGACTTGAATGCACCACCACGCCTCCTCCCGCCCCAGAATGCAAGGGGGAATTTAGTATGCGATGTAGTGCGTTCCACTGGAACGCACTGTAATTGGTGTAAACAAGCCCTTGCAGTGACTACTATAATACAATTCTAAATACCTGAGTCCCAGTACGCATTTTAATGTGTTCATTTTTCAAATACAGGTTGTTGTTTTTTTTCGTTGGTAGATCTCATCGAGATCGTCATTTGAAAAGTAGATCTTAACACACAATAAATTTTAAAAAAGTTAACACTCTCTCTCTGAGCTTTCTGTACACTGATCTTGTTACAATGACTCACAGGGAAGTGGTCAGCTGCTTTACAGTCCGACCTCAGTGTCAGACTGAGTATACTGTGGAGAACATTTTCACTTTATAGGACTCAGGTTTACTAAAAATAACTACCTCTTCATTACCACAATACATGCAAATCATTTACAAAGGTGGATATTATTTTAAGGCAAAAGTTTTAAATCCAATTACTGCATTCCATTTTAAAGTGACCTTCCTATTACTGCTCGATTCTCAGTTTATTTTACACCATGCCATTGCAGCAAGAGAAAAAAACATCAACTCCTACTGAGAATCCTTCATTGTTGCCAAATTGAAATATCATGTGGGAGAAACTAACACTTATGTTTTACAAAACTGGTTTTTATTAGAGGTGCACCAAAATAGTAATGTAAAAACCGTAACGAAAACCGAAACAGAAAAAATTGTCAGGCCGAAACCGATACCGAAAAATGTTTTTATTTAATTTTTTTTTAAATATTTTATTTTTATAAACTTTGAAAAAAATGTATATTTTTATTCATTTTTTATTAAATGTTTTTTACTTTACTTTTAGGGGCTCCTGGGAAATATTAGGGGTCTAAACAGACCTCCTGATATTGCCCTTTTAAAATAGAAAAAGAGATTGAGAACACAGAGTCCTCAATCTCTCTCTTTCTGTATCCCCTGTTATCAATGAACAGGAATGAGTGTTCCTGTTCATTCATAACATGAGGATATGGTATGTTTACTATAACCACAATTATATAGATCACTCCCATTCATTCATAATTGAGGATATATTAACCATACAATATCCTCAATTACCTACTAACACTCAGCGATCACTATGCAGTGTTTTGCAGTGTTTTTTAAAGTGATCTGCAGCCGCTTGGCTGGTTCATCACATTTACAGAGCTGTGCGCCGCTTGAGCCACAATGGCCAGCACAATGACAGCTGAAGAAGCTGGTGATTAGCACTGCAATACAGGTACTGTGATGGGGAGGAGCTGAGAAAAGGACACTTGCGGGGATACTGGTTGGACACTGGATGAAAACTAGGGGACACTAAAGACTTTTAAATCTAATCAGCAGCCCTTTGACTGCCTGATCACATTCTCAAAGCTGTGCAAGCGACTTGCCAAATTAACGTACTGTTTGGATGTAATTAACAGCTTGTTAGTCTTTTACTGATTGGATTTAATCATGGCCACTGCAGCAAACACAAACTTACAGGATTGTAAAATGTAGTGGACATGGGGGTCATGGTGCTGGCCTGCTGCAAGCAGTTCTGTTCCAACATAACCTTTACGTCCATGACAGTAAAAAGTTAAACTGTGGAAACGGTGCCCAAAAAGGAAAAAACTAGTCTGAAATATTGCCTGTAAGCTCCCCCCTGCAGCTGATCTTTTCCCGGTTACTCACTACCATGCACTGGGAAGGCAACCATATTGGTAGAGTACTGGGTTTGCTTCCTCATCTAAAAGCTGCCTCCCTAATAGTGCTTGCAGCATTTTTTGCCATCGCACTGGACCAGAACGCAGGCATTTTCCCCTCGTGTTCTGGTGCAGGTGCACCATCCCAGAACACAGGGGTGAGTTTAGTATATGATACAGTGCTTTCCAGCAGTTACCAGGGCTGAAATGCACTGTAATTGGTGTGAACAAGCCCTTCAGGAGTCTAAGTGAGTAATTTTGAACCAACTGATCTAGTTACAGTTTGTTCAGGAGGCAATATCCTGCAGATGTGTCCATTACCAAGCACCAATAAAAACAGAAAATGATGTCTGACTTTTTAGCTCATTACAAATCTTAGGAATTTTCCTTTGTTTTATTTTTTAACAAGAGCTACATAATAGAACTGAGAGACATAAAAATTATAGACCCGAATGTAATAACCAACACAGCTGAAGGCATAACCACAATTGCAGAGTAATGACACTTTTATTATTAAAATGCTTTTTGTCTATTCTCTATAACGTCACTTTGTTCTGATGGCACGCTTTCCATCTGTCCCTTTATTACATTTAAAGGGCCATTAAGTAAAAACCTAAGGTTGTTTTAAATAAAATAGTTAGTTGAATCTTCCTACAGTACTGAACTATATATTTTTTTTATTTTCGGTCACATTTCCGTGATGTGTCATTTTGATCAAACTGTGACAGGAGGAGCTCATAGCCTGTATTGTGCTATGTGATATTGTATGTACAATGTGACCAGACAAAATGACCAGATGTGGTCTAAAGGGGCCTACAGACATTTATTTATGTATTGCAGGTATTTATAGAGCGCCGACAATTTGTGCAGCGCTTTACATGGTTGCACATTCACATCAGTCCCTGCCCTCAATGAGCTTACAGTCTAAGGTCCCCATCTCACATACAGGGCCAATTTAGACTGGAGCCAATTAACCTACCAGCATGTCACTTTTATAAAATATAATATTATTGTGTTATTAATAAAACATCTGACTTTTAAATTGACACTGAATAATGTTCACTGGAGCCAAGGAGCGCAGGAATTTTTATTCTCTTCCACTCTATTTAGTGGCTATAAAGCAGTGGAAATCTACGAATCAAATGTTTGCAGAGTGAACAACTGTGTGAACCTTTTGGGTCACGTGCATGGCAGCAGCTGTTCTCTACTTTTCTCTGTGAGCTTCCTCAGCAGATGTGCATGTTACCATGCGGGAAAGTTCCTGAAAATACAACTTGCAGTCCTTTTTCCTAGTATGTGAAAGCGCAATGAATCCTGACGTAAAGAATGAGTTTTTACTTGAATATGCATTTAGCCTGCATTGTAAAATAGACAGAAACATGGATGACATAAATGAGCCCTAAACGCAGCCATCCATGTCTGCATGCTTTGTTCATTTGAAGAATTTCTGTGGGGGGTAATCTTGATTTGAAGGGGACACTTCAATCTGAATGGAGAAACCCACTTTTTTGGGTGTTTTTTGCTTGGAGTCCCCCTTCAAATCATTGATATTTTAGACTGAGATGACTTGAGATTTTGCATATGTTTAAAGGCTGCCGTGACTAAAAAAAAGGTTGGGAAAGGCTGGTCTACAGCCTCTAGTAAAAATGCGTAATGCTGAGAAAGAAACATTACTGATATGACAGTAAAGTTGATATGTTAGTGTGTGCTTTTATATATTGGAATTCAGAAGGGTTGAATAAAACGGTGATAACACAGTACCCTATTCACACACAAAGTGCAGAACACATTTACAATGTGCCTTCAAAAAGGCTTTGTCCTATTATCATTTTTGTTTTATTAGTGTGTCTGTGTGCTGAGTTGCAGAACAAACACATTTATTCTTTCCCTGTTGCCAGAGCAGCCAGTGGACACCTAAAATGTCTTTGTTGCCAAGCACTGCAATTAAATGATTTGCTTAGCTTACAATAGTAATGTTTCACTTGTTTTCTTGTGTTTATTATGGCTTGTTTAGGCGGGCATTGCTTTTCTGCTTTTAATGTGTGTTTAAAGCACACTTTCAATGTTTGAAGATTTCCATTCACTTTATTAGTGTAGTGTAGATGCCGTTTTCGAGGCCACATTTGACCTACATTGCTTTGTGTATCTTTGTATGCAGCATGTTCTATTGAGGTCCGTTCATGTTGTAGTCAAAGCAAGTCAAGTGCAGCCCCATTCTGTGCCTTGCATTCAAATGCATACCTTTAGGTAGTGCCACACTTGAAAGACCATCTACACAAGCCCTTACTCTAGCTATGTTGAGCAAAATAATTTACTTTTAAACATACAATATCAACTTTCATATAATTTCAGCAATATCTACCTGCCTTTTATTTACATAATTATATAATTGCAGTGAACCGAGTGTCCATCGTTTTTGTAGTATATGTAGTCAAAATTTTACTAGTGTATATATGTTTCTGTATTTTTTTAATTTAATTTTTTATTCTTATATATTTTTATTTATATTTTAGATGAGAATTGGGATGATGACCAGTTACATGGATTTGAACCTTGCAATGAAAATTTTGTGACGGGATGTAATATTATTAATGGGAAATGTGAATGTGACACCATCCGGACCTGTAACAGTCCCTTTGAATTCCCAAACCAGGACTCGTGTCTAACAGCACTGAGAAGAATTGAAGGTAAGTTAAAAATACTCCTTTTTTTCCCCCATATATTGATGCATTTTCAAGAGGTAGTGTTGGTCAGTGATACCACACTGGTGATCATTTTATTTATTGCTTGTGGTAATGAGGTTTAAAATGTTGTTATTACGGTCTCTTTTTATAGCTGTTGATTTAGTAGGTTTTTGAGTTCTTTTTCTGTTTAAAGAATAATGTAAACCTATTACAAACTTTGGCAATGCAATCTAAACATATTAGGAAATACAGAAGGGGTCTTCTGTTGTCAGTAGAGCCATTGTTTTTGTTCCACCCTTTTTGTCCTTCTAAGCCTCCCTGTTGGCTAGTAAGGATGCTCATCACATTAAAGAACAGATAGAGAGGCGGGACCATGTGCACGACTTTCATGGAAAGTTACGTTTTGCATGTAACTTCAGTTGCCTGTACCTGTAGTTTTCCATGCTATTTTCACATTTTGCCATCATATGCTCAGTTCAGATGCCTCAATGTTTGTAACCATTTAGGTAAAGCAGACCTTTACCCATATCTTTAAAATAACAACAAAGGCACATCAGGAAATGTTTAGCAATGACAATCTACAAACACATACTTCTAGATAATTGGCTGTTTTGTATTCTTTGCATACCTTATGCCTCTTTTCTTCCTCAGTCTTCTGACAGTGGCCTTCTTTACTAAGGCCAGATTACTAGCTCTCCTTTTACTTCCTGAATTTCTGGCTCATGTGACTAGGACATGTGACCATGAGTGTAAAGGTCTCCTTTAAAGTTTACATATTGCCATTGCCAAATGTATACCGTTGGGTAATAAAAGTAAAAGATCACAAACAAAACCTGTATGGCTGAATAAAAATGTAAAGCATCACATAAAGTAAAAGCGAATGCTTTCATAAAATATAAGATAGAGGGGACGGCATTGGCATTCCACAACTATAAAGAAAGCAATAAAAGATGCAAACTAGCAATACGGACGGCTAAAATGGAGTGCAAAAGACATATTGCCATAGATAGTAAAAAAATAAATGTTTACCAATATATAAACAGTAAAAAGGGAAGAAAGGAGCAGATAGGCCCAATAAAGGACGATAGAGGAAATTTAGTCACAAATGACAAGGAGAGGGCCGAAGTACTGAACTCTTTCTTCTCCTCAGTATACACTCAGGAGGGAAACGGGTTTGACGCCCCTGATAAAACACCTAGTTCATCACAAAACACAGCCAAGTGGTTGACAGAACCCGGGATACAACAAAGACTTAGTCTACTTAATGCAAATAAAGCGTTGGGACCGGATAATCTGCACCCGAAGATACTTAAGGAACTAAGTGCGGTTATAACAAGACCGTTATTCCTCACGTGGATTTATATAGTGCCAACCGTTTGCGCAGCGTTTTACAATATAAGGAAGACATTACAATCACAATACAATTCAAGACAAGATGGTAAAGAGGGCCCTGCCCCTGAGGGCTTACATTCTAAAAGGGAGGGAGAAGTGATACATGAGGAGGTAGCTGTGTGGGGATGAATTGTTTGAAAAATGCATTCAAGTACCTTAAATATTAACAAAAATGTATCTTATTTGTGTATCACTCTGCTGTAGATCCTCAAATCATCTCTGAATTTGGTGATGACACGGTCCTTTCTTCTGAAAGGTGGCTACTTTTGTTCCCCATGGTCCCTTTGTGTGTTATAAAGTAGCCAGCTCTCTTAAGATCACTCCTATGATAGACTATAACTTAAATACAAATTAGTAAACTAAACTTGAGATTGTATTCTATCAGAGGAGAGAGCTTGGAGTGGTGACTACTTTACCACAGGCACACGGACCATGGGGAACAAGAGTAGCCACTCTCCAGAAGGAAGGACAGTGTGAGCACATGTTTGGAGATGATTTGAAAGTCTACAGCTAAATGATCCACAGATAAGCTAATTTATCTATGTTTTATATAGGGTATGAATGCATTTTTAAGATTTAAATCCTGAGTTTAGTGTCACTTTAAAAAGTGATGTTAGCTCTGACTTGTAAAAGCATTTAGTAGACACTTACAGGTTTGCCTGCCTCATGGCTTTTGGCATTGAAATCAACAACTGCTGACACACATTGGAATTTAGTTGTACAATCTCCTTGAGATTTACCAGTCAGAGGGCATATCTGACTGAGTGGAAACCATCATACTACTTTATTGTTGTGCAAGAGATTAGACAATTAGAGTGTAATATGTGTGGCCAGCATTAAGGTGCTTATTTGCCCTTGTGTGACAGGAATTATTTCTATAGCAGTCCTTTTCTAACTGAAGATGCTGGATGGAGTCCTTTTATGTGATAACCAGCACGTCATTTGAAAGCATACTGGTGAATCACATTGAAAATATACAGGATAAAATGAAAAAGTTATTTATAAAAGCTTGAGCAATCATAACTTTTATCTGACCTCATTCTAAAAGCCCAGCTACATCCAAAATGTTTTATTTGATTTTAGGTAGACTTTAATAAATGTCGGAAAACCTTTTCCCATTCTGAGTGCCTTTTTCAGGATACTTTCTATAATTTTCCTCCCAGCACAGGAAGAGATTAGAAGTCTGCCTGTCTGTGCCGTGGACCCCATATTTTTTCTTTTGTGTAGGGACAGGTAGTGTGAAGATTTCTCCCTTAATTCTTCCCTTTGTGTTGGGGCTTATTCACACCTCATGTGTTGGGGCTGTGCTGGAAGTTGCTTCCAGCGCAGCCCCAATGCAAGACAAGGCAATTTGCCTTGTCACTGTACCACATTGAGATGGAAACTGTCCTTTTTTTCCCCAGCGCAGCGGGATGCGACACAGAACCATTGCTTTGCACCCTGCTGTGCCCATAGAACTGAATTAAATATTACTTATGACATTAGAATGGCTCTTACCCCACTGACTCCTTGTTCAATGCATTACACACAACTGCTTTGACTGTATGCCGCAATGTCTTTTAAAAAATAGAAATTATTATCTTTATTAGCACTAAAACTCCTGTAAATGTATTTTTGTTTCTAAAGAAAAACACATGTTTATCTACAGTCATATTATCTCTGCTACTCTGTGCTGAAAATAAAACGGCATCATTTGTCAATGGCACCTAGAGTGAGGAGATTTGTTCACAAACATGCTTCTGGAAAGTACAGAGTTTAGAAAGAAATGATTGTTTAGATGTATGATGGATAGAAGCTGCGGAGAATACCAGTAGTTTCATAACACAGTGAGATTGGCTTGATGTGTCGATCACGGCTCATTTTCACACTGCTTACACCTCTGTGTCGTTATTTCTGTCTACCATTACGTACAATCAAAAATCCTCATGAATAGTCTGCTTTTGCTTTTTTGGGGGCGGAGTAGACAGAGACAAGTGTGTGAATGTGGGAATGAGTGAAATAAACAAGTACACACAGAAGCCTATTGTTTCAATGTCCAACTTGTTGACCTGGTGTGTTTTATACAATGAATATTTATGAATAAAACACCTCTCAAAAATAGTTTGCTTTCATTTACTCTTTTCTGCTTTTTGTGGTTTTTTTTTCAAGTGTATGTTCAGCTCAAACCCTTTTTTTCTGACGAATTGGGGAAGGGTTAGAGTCCCTTGCAAATATTGACTGCTATCCAGAGCTCCATTAGAAAGGTGTCCCCTCACTTCCTGTCCTGCTGACACATTTTATGAGACCGGAAGAAAGAAGATTTCTCAAAAAAGCAACACAGGAAAAAAAAATGCTTTTCTTTAGTAGAGTATGGGAGAACCCCTGTCAGAATTGTATTTCTGTCTTTATTCCTGTTGCTTGTTGGTAAAACCGTTCTCATCGGTACAGGAAATCTCAATAGCCACCTAACCCCACAAACACACACACACACACACACACACACACACACACACACACACTACACACACACACACACACACACACACACACAAACACACTAGGATAGGAGTAAAACTCTTAACAGTAGTCCTTAGATCTTAATCCTCTACTTATTTTGTTCTGGTAATTTTTTTTAGCATGGTTGTTTTATATTTTAGGAGTCTAAACTGCCTTGCATTGTCTGTGATGTTGCTAGGTGTGTTCTTTCTAGCATAGCCAGGACTTAAAATACTTTTTAGGAGCAATGGAGCCACCCTTGGGCAGCAGCATTGCCAACCTATGCGGAGGGTAGTGTTAGATGGACCAGCAGATTTAGATGGATTTGACTAACAAATTAGATCAGCTAAAACTTTTTAAGTAGTTACAGCTATAGTACCTTTTTTCTTCCGTTTGGGATAAAGGTTTTACATATGTGAATGAGAATCTGACCCTTGTGTTAAATGGTTTGTCCAAACCCTCTATCTGACACTTTTTCTGGACATCTTGGCCTGTTAAAGGAAGTTGAAAAATAACACTTACTAAGGATTGGTAAGCTGCAGTATACATTTTTTGTTTTTGGGTTTAGATCTGCTTTTACTTTTCCCTGAAATGGCTTTCTGACGTTCACGAAACTACAACCCATTGTGGGAATGCATTAAAACATGTATTAAAACTTAAGGGCTGCTGTTGCTGCTTGGCGCTATCTGTATTATTTCAAAAGAGGTAACATCATGAATTTGGTGTCCGCACATGGGTCCGTTACATGTAACTATTTTAAATATTTTCTAGTGCTTCTCTTTTTGTACTGGTAAAGTACGGTTGCTTCGGGTAAACAATAACATTTCAATCATTAAACAAGTAGGATGGGAGGTGAATGCAATAATCATACAATGTTTGTGTGATCTAGAGGTTTGACAACAAGCATTTGTATCTTTCAGACTTGGCCTAATGCATGTATGGGTCAGTGCTGGTAATCTGGGTGCCTGTACCCAAGCTCAGCTGAGCACCCAGATCTTATGTTGTACGGGCTATAGAAACAAGATATGGGGTATAAAATAAAAAAAACATTTTAGCTCAGGTTATATGTACAGTGTCTATTTAGAGTACGCTTCAAAAAGTACCTAAATTACTGTACATAAAATCACTTACCAGTC